GCCATGACTGTTAGCTAAATTGTTTCAGCGGTTTTCAAAACAAAAGTAGACATCCAACAGGCTTCAAAAAGGTTATCACACATACATTGTTCAGACTTTGGTGGTTGGAGAACTTCTGGGAGTTGCCCTGTAGGGTATGTTTCTGTTTAATGCACTTAAAATGATCTGGATGCAGCAGTTGATGTCCTGTTGGCAGGTTTGCTGATAGCACTCAACTGGGAGGTGCTGATGACTCTGAGGGAGGAGAGGCCTTGCACAGGGATCTAGATAGATTGGAGTACTGGGCAATGATTCATGGGATGAAATTCAACAAATCCAAATGCCAGATTCTGCACCTGGGACAGAGTAACATCAGGTACAAGTGTAAATTGGGAGAGGAGAGTCTGGAGAACAGCTGTGCCGAGGGATCTGGGGGTGTTGGCGGGCAGCAGCTCCCTGTGGGTGAGCAGTGTGTGCCCAGATAGCCAGGAGGGCAAACTGTATCCTGGGGTGCATCAGACCCGTGTCTCATCACGTGACACCTTTCTGTGGCATCACCAGGCTCATCCTGAGCACTGTGAGCAGTTCTGGGGCCCACAATTTAAGGAGGATGTGAAGGTCCTTGAGAGCATCCAGAAGAGGGCAACAAAGCCGGTGGAAGGGCTGGAAGGCATGTCCTGGGAGGAGTGGAGGAGGGCTTTGGGCTTGTCTAGTTTGGAGAAAAAGGCTGAATTTTGACCTTGTTGCTCTCTGTAGCTGCCTGAGGAGGGGACATGGAGAGGGAGGTGCTGATCTCTCCTCACTGAAATCCAGTAACAGGATGCATAGGAATGGTTCAAAAATGCGACAGGGACTGGGTATTAGAAAGGTTTGGGGTTTTTTTAGCAAGAGGGTGGTCAAACTCTGGAACAAACTTCCTAGAGGAGTGCTTGGTGGCACAAGACTGTCAGTATCTAAGAGGCATTTGGACAGTGCTGTTAACAAAGTGCTTCAATTTTTGGTCATCCCTGAAGTGGTCAGGCAGTTAGGCTGGATGATCATTGTAGGTCCCTTCCAACTGAACTGTTCTATTCCGTGCTACTCTACTCTAGTCTAAAGTGGCTTCTCAGTAATAGGCTGGTGTGACAAGACAAAATGTCTTTACAAAACTGACTTAAGCTTCTTAACCTTTAAGGATTAGGAGGGACTTTTGCTTATTTTGCTTTCTCTGTTTGAACATAGCACGTGTGGGTGTGCTTTAACTAAGTTCTTGTGCTGCTGCATTTTTCTTCTTCCTGATCCTTGTAACATTTTGCTTGGCAAGCAGGAACAGTACGTGTGGAAAGTTCATACACCTGTGTAAATGTTATTGTTAACAATTACTGCTCTGCTGAGGACTCGGAAAGTTTTGACAAAACCTCAGGAGAAAAACTCTATCAAGCACAGGAGCCTGAGGGAATTAGTGCTCAAGTAGCTGTTGCTGTGCCACTCATCCTGTGGGAGCTGCAGCCACAGGGGGATGAGGATTTTGCATTCCCAATGGATCTGGATGAACCCACCTGTTGGCCAACAGTTTTTTCTCTGCTCATCCGGCACAGCTGCCTACAAAGTCATCCCCTGAGCAAAGCCAACTCAAAATTATTTGGTTTGCTCGAGCATTTCCATAACAATCTAAAGCTGCCTGAGGCATTTTCAGCAGGTTGGGTTAGAAAATGATCATGTGAGCTGCCATGCTGGAGGTGAGGGTTTCCACTGTGGTGGTGAGGTACTGGGAAGACTGGTGGATGAATGGGAAGTGGTGGCTGCTTTACTTGGATAGCAGCAGTGTGAACAGGCAGGGAACACACTGCTGCAGTTAAACATGCACGTGGGTTCTCTTGCTATGAAATGAGAATGTCCCATATCATCTCAAGGGCTGGTTTTGTCCAGCCTGGAGAAGGCTCAGAGGGAATCTTAAACTAATGATGGGAGGCTATAGAGAAGACAGTGATGCATAATGGCAAGGAGAGAGGCCAAGGCCATGGGCTGCATCAAGGAAGATTACATAGAAAGAAAAAAAATTCTCTGTGAAGAAAAATCAAACATGGGAACAAGTATGCAGAGACATGCAGTCTCTTTCCTTGGAAATACTCAGAACTGACAGGACCTGAGCAACCTGATGGAGTTTCAATATTGATCCTGCTTCTCTTAGGAAGGGGAGGTGATCTCTAAAGTTCTCTACCAATATAAGATACAACATGATTATCATTTTTAATGGCATCTTAAATTAGATGAAAGCAATTAGTCTTACTGAGGAGTAAATGTTACTTGCACTCAAAATAATTCACAACTACATTCACTACCCACATTTTACAAGCAGCAACATGAGGCAGGAAAGTCATTAATTTGTGTGAGATACAGGGTCTCAAGAACAGAGATCATAGTGCAAAATTTGCAGGAGTTCCAGGTGTACCACCACCACCTGGTGTCTGCATTCTACCCCCTGCTATCCACTGGTGCCTGTGGGGTTCTCCAGGGTGCAGCAAGAAACCCAGGGCCTCTCTGGAGCAGAGGGGCACCAAGCAGAGCAGCAGTGTCCCTGCAGCTGTGGTGTTGCAAGGCTTACACCACTAAAATGTCTTACTACAGCTCTGCAGGTCTGTAACAAAACACCTGCACCATTCAATATGTTACATTAATACATGATTAGGATGTCAGTATGGTATCTGTCAATTCACCAGTAACTGTGGCTTAAGTTGGGCTTCATTAAGATTCTTTATTGTTATCTGTGTAACAGAGACATAGAAATAGATAACAGCAAACTTAATAAACAAAGATGGGGTGGGTGGGTTGTCAGCTGCTATTCTGCAGGCACAAGGTCACTGTGATCTTTTACAGAAGTTCAATCTTCTTTTGTCCTAGCTTTGTCTGGAATAGGGTTAATTTTCTCCCTAGTAGCTGGTACAGTGCTGTGTTTTGGATTCAGTATGAAAATAATGTTGATAATACAACGATGCTTTAGTTTTGCTCTCTAGTTCTTATTCTAAGTCAAGGAATTCTCAGTTTTCCATGTTCTGTCAGCGAGCAGGTGCACAAGAAGCCTGGAGGGACCATGGCCAGGACAGCTGACACGAACTGACCAAAGGGTTATTTCACATCACAGAGTGAAATGTGCAGTATATGAACTGTGGGGAGCTGGCCAGGAGCTGCTGATTGCTGCTCAGGGACAGGCTGGGCATCAGTCAGTGGATGGTGAGCAACTGAATTTGGCATCACTCATCTTTCTTCCGTTTTATTCCTCTCTCTCTCATTCTTTGTTATCTCCTGTTTCATCACTTTTATAATTATTATTTTTATTGTTATTATTGTTGTTGTATTTTAATCTATCTCAGTTGTTAAACTGTTATCTCAGCCCATGGGTTTTACCTTTTCTGATTTTCCTCTCCATCCCACTGTGGGGATGAGGGTAGTGAAGGGGGTGTTACATGGTGTTTAATTGCCAGCTGGGGCTAAACCGTGACACCTTTCTGAGGAGCCAGCTGAACATGCCATGCTGTTGTGAACCATGCTGGTAAACTGCAGTTATTTTCATCTAAAGTTTTATGGGTGTATTTAATGATGCAGGAAATGCCAGGGGAGATAAATGGGTTGACCAAGGCAGGTGAGAGACCTGCTGCTAAGACATCTCTCATGGTGGCAGGTCCATCTCTTTCTGACTGTGTCAAGCTGCTATTTCTGTCATCAAGACTTTTCTGAACAGACTCTCTATCTGTGCAGAAAAGCACCAGTTAAAGGCGTGGGTTTGTGCAATGGTCTGGCAGTCTAGCCATGGTCTAGAAGCACAAACTTAAAATCAAAACTGTCTTCAGTTGATGTAATTCAAATATGACCTTGGATTTCAGGAGGTAACACTGCATTACCAACCCACAAATAGAGACTGCTTCTAGTAAAAATGACATGGACTTCTTCACTGTTTCTCTTCTTTCTGTGAAAAATGCCTCTTTTTTGACATTACATTCAGCCTCCAGTGTAACAGAAGCAGAGTCTTGTGGTCTGGGATGCTGTGGTCTATAAACTTTGATTTAATAACAT